TTGCAGCGGACCTGCAGGTTTCTGGGAGTTTGTTCCAGATATTTGGAGCATAATAACTGAACGCTGCTTCTCCATGTTTAGTTCTGACTCTGGGGACAGAAAGCTGACCAGTCCCTGAAGACCTGAGATCTGGATGGTTCATCATTTAGCAGGAGGTCAGAAATGTATTTTGGGCCTAAACCATTCAGTGCTTTATAAACCAGCAGCAGTATTTAGAAATCTATTCTTTGACACACAGGAAGCCAGTGTAAAGACTTCAGAACAGGAGTGATGTGATCCACTTTCTTAGTGTTAGTGAGGACTCGAGCAGCAGCGTTCTGAATCAGCTGCAGCTTCCTAATAGATTTTTTAGTGAGACCTGTGAAGACACCATTGCAGTAGTCGAGTCTACTGAAGATAAAAGCATGGACAAGTTTTTCCAAATCCTGCTGTGACATTAGTCTTTTAATCCTAGATATATTCTTTAGGTGATAGTAGGCTGATTTAGTAACAGTTTTAATGTGACTGTTGAAACTCAGGTCAGAGTCCATGACTACACCTAGATTTCTGGCTTTATCTGTTGTTTTGAACATTGCAGACTGAAGCTCAGCGCTAACTTTTATACGTTCTGCCTTGGCTCCAAAAACCATTACCTCAGTTTTATCTTTGTTTAATTGGAGAAAGTTCTGACACATCCAGTCATTGATTTGTTCAATGCACTTACTCAGTGTTTGAATTGGAGCATAGTCTCCTGGTGAAATTGTTATGTAAATTTGTGTGTCATCTGCATAGCTATGGTAACTTATGTTGTCGTTTTTCATTATCTGAGCCAGTGGTAGCATGTAGATGTTAAAGAGAAGAGGCCCCAAGATGGAGCCTTGAGGTACCCCACATGTCATATTTGTGAACTCAGATGTGTATTTACCTATAGAAACAAAGTTGTTTCTGTCCTTTAAGTAGGATTCAAACCAATTTAGAACTGTTTCCGAAAGTCCCACCCAGTTTTCCAGTCGGTCTAGTAATATGCTGTGGTCAACAGTGTCAAACGCAGCACTGAGATCTAATAATACTAACACTGAAGTTCTGCCACTGTCTGTGTTTAAGTGGATGTCATTAAAGACCTTTACAAGAGCAGTCTCAGTGCTGTGGTTTGGACGAAAGCCTGACTGGAACACATCGAAACAGTTATTTAAATGCAAGAAATTACTCAACTGTTGAAAAACAACTTTTTCAATGATTTTACCTAGAAATGGGAGGTTTGATATGGGCCTGTAATTATTCATTACTGAAGCATCTAGATTATTCTTTTTTAAGAGCGGTTTAATGACTGCAGTTTTCAGGGCCTGTGGAAAAATACCTGAGTGAAGAGATTTGTTTACTATATGAAGTAGATCTGAGGCCATGCAAGGCAAAACATCTTTGAAAAATCCTGTTGGAATAATATCAAGGCAGCAGGAGGAGGATTTCAGAAGTTGAATAATGTCCTCTAGGTTTTTATCATTAATCTGATGGAATTGTGTCATGGTGTCTGAATTGATGTTAAGTGGAGATAGGGACAACACATTTGCTGTTCCTGATGCAGAGGCACTGACTGCTTGTCTGATTTTCTGAATGTTGTCAGTGAAGAAGGAGGCAAAATCATTGCACGCCCTGGTGGATAGAAATTCAGAGGCTACTGACACCGGGGGGTTAGTTAGTCTGTCGACGGTAGCAAACAAGGCACGTGCGTTGTTTTTGTTTTTGGTAATGATGTCAGAGAAGAACGATTGTCGTGCGTTTTTCAATTCCAAATTATAAAGGCCAAGTCTCTCTTTATAGATTTCAAAGTGAACCTGGAGATTTGTTTTTCGCCACCTGCGTTCAGCTTTTCGACATTCTCTTTTTTCTGTTTTCACGCTCATGGCCTTTCTCCATGGAGATATTTTCTTCCCAGTCACTTCCTTTACCTTAGTTGGAGCAATGGCATCTATAACATTTTTAATTTGTGAATTAAAATGATCTACTAGCTCATTTTCTGAGATACTTTTTCTCGGAAAAATTCTGAGTAAACATTTCCCTAGTGTTTTCAGTTAAATATCGCTTTGTGGTTACCTCTTTTTGAACATTTTGTGAACAGAAATAGAGCTCTCAAAGAAAACACAGGAATGGTCAGAGAGTGCAACATCAGTCACCACAACCTTAGAGATATTCACACCCTTTGAGATAATTAAGTCCAGAGTGTGCCCCTTATTGTGCGTGGGCTCCGTCACATGCTGAGTCAGTCCATAGCTATCAAGAACACAAAACAGTTCTTTAGCCCCTCTGTCCTGGGGGTTGTCAACATGGATGTTAAAATCACCAACAATGACTAGACGGTCAAAGTCAATACACACTATAGACAGCAGTTCAGTAAAGTCATCAAAAAAGCTTGCACAGTATTTGGGTGGTCTATAGATATTTAGGAACAGAGCTCGAGAGGAGCATTTCAGCTGAAGGGCCACATATTCAAAAGAATCAAAGTTTCCATACGATGTCTTCCTGCATTGAAGGGAATCATTGAACAGAATAGCAACTCCACCCCCTTTCTTATGCATTCTTTCCTGACTCATAAAACTAAAGTTGGGAGGGGTTGATTCGATAAGAACAGCTGCACTGTTATTTTGTTCAATCCATGTTTCCGTTAAAACATAAAATCGAGATTGTGCTCAGTGATAAAATCATTGATTAAAAATGTTTTTCCTGCCAAAGACCTGACCTTTAATAAAGCTAGTTTAAGTTTGTTAAACACACTATCAGTCATGTTTTTTGTAACAAGCTGTGGCTGACATGGAATCACTGCTAAATTAGATAAACTCACACAAACGTTGAGCGCTTGCAGTTTCTATGATTCACCGCTCTTAATCTATTACCTATCAACACAGATATCGGCAAAGCTACTGGCAGGCAGGGCCCCGGCATGTCCTGGAAAGAGTTGAGAGTGCCATACGCCCTTGAGCCTGGACCCAGCACATATCAGTAAGAGTTTTCTGTGTTTTGTACACACACATTCTTATCAGGCTTCGGTGACCGCAGATGGTGTCTTGAAGGTTGTTTTTGTTGTCACTTTGAGTCACTCTTTCGACACTTTGTGGTCCATTTGTGGAGTTTTTTGTCAATATGCATCACTTCTTAATCAATGAAGTTCTATATGCAGTGTTTGTCTTTAATTTTGTGACCCTTCATAGTCACTTTTGGTCGTCTTGTTATTAAATGCCAGGCCGCAATTTTTTATATCTTAAGTAGTAGCCTCTAAAAGTAGTATTTTTGAGTCATTTTGAGTCACCCTTTCACTTTCTGGTCACTTTATAGTCATTTTGCATTTTCTTCACCATTTTGTATCTATTTGAGGTCATTTTTCATCTCTCTGTGTCGTCAGTTTGTGGCTATTTTTATTTTGCGTCACTTTGCACTCTTTCGCCTATCCATGCGGGGTTTGTTTTGTCATTTTACATCCTTTTGTAATCGATTACAGCCTCTTTTGGTCATTGTGTGAACCTGTGTCACTTAGAGGTCTCGCGTCAGGCTCCCTCTATTATTTCCTCTTTGGAAGACATGCTTTGTCTTTTCTGCGTTTGATTTATCTGATGACACCCTCCGACAAAAAGTAACATGGTGAAAGGGTGGGGGGGGGGGATGCAGGGGTCTCGCACTGACACCGAGATGGATGCCACACGCTTTTGTTTTAGTGAAATACACCGAGATGCTGGCTCTGCAGAGGCAGAAGTCGGAGGCCAAGGGGAACAGCTTGTTCACTTGTTCCGTTTGGATAAGCAAACCATGGCACTGTCAGGACTTCAGGGGCTTGAGCTGTTGATATAACCCCCCCATGCTCTGTTGAAAATCAGCATCACAGCAAATGCACTACTGCTACAATAAAAAACTCACATCAGGCTTCAAATGACCTCCTTCTTTGTCCTCCTCTCTCTGGCTCCACAGCAGTAGTTTATACACTACGTGCCAAAAATGTCAATAAAAGCGCCTTAATCTGCCATGCAATCTGCAGCAGCACCTGCTTATGGAAACACAAAACGCCCCTGCAGTCTATCTCCGCAGCAGCAATGTTTCCTTCCTATTTAAAAAAGAAAGCTCCACTACTACAGTCGGAAACCCCGCGGGTCAAAGCGCAATTACGCATTCGGACAGGCGCACTGTGTTTGTGGAAATGACTTCCGGCGCTTTCTTTTCTTCTGGGTGTTGATACAAATCAGCAGGCAATGTATTACTGAACAATACATAGAGGGTGGATTGTGAAACACACTTTGATTTTATCTTGGCATAAAGGAAATATTACTTTACATTTTTGATTGAGACATTTCTTTAATTAGGCAGTTAAATTGTGTGTATTTAAGATTCTTAAAAAGGAGGATGCTTGATAGATATATGATCAATTCTCTGACAAAATAGAAAAGGTGGGTTTAATAATTAATTTGAATATGTGTAATGTGTTTAGGCCTGCAGTATATTGAATTAGCATGGCCCTTTTGCAATTTACTCTATTTAGAGCATTTTAAATAATACCTAGAGAGGTCGTTTTTCGAAATACAATTATGATCAATTAGATTAGATTTCAATGTTAAAAAAAATATCTCTTTTAAATATCAAGAAATTACTTTTTACTATTCAGGCCGTGGGGTTTCAGATGGAGGCCTTATTTTCTCTCTTTGCCTCAAAAAGGATTTATTAGCCACAGACAAATTAATAAAACCCTAATTCGAGTTTATATCACCTCCTAATAATCCGTGTTTACAGCACAAACATGTATGTAGAATAAAATCAAGTTTTCAGCGACCCAATTTCATTCCCAGTAAGAAATAATTACAAAATTCACATTTTCGAGTAACACTTGTGCGTAATTGTCGTGCGTAATGGCAAGAAAATGATTGTGCGTAATTACAACGAGTTTTTTTTTACATGGATCATAAAATATATAAACAATCAAAAGCAGATTTCAGAGCTGAAATAAATCCACAGTAAAGGACAAAAAAAAGAAGCAGATTCCTTACCAACACACTCGTTGGCTTCACGGGCCGTTGCGCGTTGCCAGGGCCGGTCGTAGTGGAAGGGTTTGCACCTGTCGCACTCCGGGCCCGCGGTGTGATGCTTGCACTCACACACCAGGTTCCCCTCGCGGTCTTTCACGCATTTCGACGCGTGCCCGTTGCACTTGCACCTGCCCCCGACCTGCAGGTCAGACACCGCGTAAAAGTAGGAGTCTCTCGCCAGCTCCGAGTCGTCCTCGTTCTCGTCTCCAAACGTGTGCAGCCGGCTGAAGATCACCTTGATGTCGGTGGCCGTCACCCAGTCCTGCAGCACGGGGGAATTATCGAAGTCGTGCGCAGAGGGTCTCCCATCCAGGGTGCTGAAGGCGATGAGCCCCCCCGTCAGAGGGTGCATGTCGGTGTGGGAGTCCGTGCAGATGGCCTCCTGCTCGTTCTGCTTGGTGATCGCTGCTTTATTCTGCCGGTTGTACATCTTCTTGCACTGAGTGGAGTAATACTGAAACGGCACCCAGGACTTCCCGTAGTCCATGGACTTGTAGATGGCCATGGACTCGGGTCTGGGTGAGCAGAACTGCAGGCTCACATAGGTCACCTCGAACTTCTTCCCCAGGGATAAAGTGAGGGTGAGATTCTGCGGGAACTGCACGTAGTTCTCGGACTGCCAGCAGGTGAGGTTGTGGGGGTTGTTGAGGTCCGTTAAGTACGCAGGAGGGTGAGATTTCTTGGGGTCTCCGGCGTCGCAGGTGTGACAGTCCCGAGTCCTCTCCTCCTCCTTCTCGGTCACCACACAGTACCTGGCGGCCGGGGTCCCGCAGGTGCTGGACACGCGTACGTCCTTTCCAAACGCGGAGTTCACGAAGTCCGGGATGCACCTCCGAGGGTTCCCGTTCTCATCGTAGCACGGATCCGGGGGGGACGACTGAGCCGCGAACATGCTGAGCCCATACCCTCCAGAGACCCCCTCTGTGAGCGACCCCACCGTCACCAAGGTGAGCCAAACCTCCAAAACACTTTGCATTGTAATCCGTGCACCGATGCGCTGAAATAGAGCCAAATGGACAGAATTAAGAAGTACTTTTAATAACATTCTGATGATGTGATAAGGATGTAATAATAAAACATGTACAACATTTTCCTATGAGGCAAAGAAACCCACCTCCAAAGAAAACCGATCAGCCTCAAAGTGCTAGAATTTGGAGACCAACCTATTTCGTTTTACGCACCAAACAATCCTGCTATAGTTTAAAAAAAATCAGAGTTAACAACTCCGGAATTACTTATAATAACAAGAATTCTGATCTGAAATGGACGCAAATCGTGTAAAAAATATTCCTACGAGGCACAGAAACCCACCTCCAAATAAAACCGATCAGCCTCAAAGTGAACTCCTAGAATTTGGAGACCAACCTATCCCGTTTTACGCACCAAACACTCCTGCTTTAGTCCTTTCCCCCCTCTTCTTTGAGATCCCTAAATATAAATGACATATGGCAGGAGCCCAGCTGCTGTCCTCTCACTCTCACCTCTGCCCACCTCTATCTCCCTCTGTCCCATTCCCTCTCTGTTATAAAAGGAGAAAGGGGTCCGCTCCCTCTCAGAGGAGAAAAGCAGCAGTGCCATCTTGTGGTGGATTATTGACACTGCATGTTCCAAAAAGCCGTTTTCTAATATTTTCTCAAATAGGTTAATTACGACTTTCCTCGTTTCCGGTAGGGGCATTGCTGTTGTGTGTTTGATTAATAAAAACAATTATTCGGAAAAACAAGATGCATTATGGGTAAATATATAATCATCCGGCTGTCCCGGTCGCTTGTGAGTGCAACCAATAATTGACCGATCAGCGTCTATGTAGGCGGGCTATACTGTGCGGACGCCGCGAGCGAGAGATTCACTTTTTCCCAACACCACGAAAGTAAGTACATCATCCTTTAACCTCACCTGTAAACAATGAATGTCCGGGGGGGACAGTGAAAGGAAGTTACAATGCAGTTAACACCACCTTATATTATGAAAGACTTGTACTTGAGTAGGCAGGCCTGTTTCCATTGTAAGGTACTTTAATACACTATAATTGAGAGGAAATTATGAAATAGTTAGTATGAAGGTCGAGTTTTTCATACAAAATATAGGTTATATACATTTCGATTTATTTATTACATTTAAATGCATAATATGCATTTGTTTTTATTCATCTTTAACTTGTATTGTATGTTGTCATCAGTTTTTCTTTGAATCAATATGTAATCTTTTACAGCTTGTTTATTAAATATGTATTATAAATTACATATTTCTCAGTTTTTTTAAATATGACTATTTTCTTATTCTCTAGATGGAACCACGCTTTCGAAAACGGGACGGTATTCTCAACTTGACAGACACTTTGGAAGCAACAAAGGTCAAGAAGTTCTACGCACAAACTGGCTCCAGTGTGAAGGGAGGGCACCGCCAAAAAGAAGACCAGCTTTCCACCCCAAGGTGATGACTGAGACCACCATCCAGCTCCCAGAGGTGAATGTTGGAACTGTCACATAATGGTGAGTAAATAAGCATATACTGCAAGACATGTATACTTACTCTGTAATACTTACCCAATCAAATGATTTACTGTTCCAAATAATCCCAACTTTTTTTTATTACAAATACTCAATTTTGTTCATTAATATTGATTGTTTCATATTTCCGCAGGCTCAGCAGGCGCGGCAGGTCTCAGGGAGAGCAGGTCCTGAAGCAGGTATCCCCGCTCCTGACGCTCCCATGGCAGGACCTGAGAAGCTTCTTGTGGCAAAGCAGAAAGGGACATCTCTGACTCCTGGCAGTCTGGCTGAGCCTCACACCTTTGTTCTACCACCACACACTGCTGGTGAGGCAAAGCTCCAGCACAGATCCCAACCAGTGGCCATCTCACAGGTCCCCCCACCACCTCCATGCTATGCTCTTCCCTTCCTTGCACCGACTCCACCCTTCTCAACACCATACATGGTACCATCTGTGCAGCTTCCTCAAGAGCCTGGACCCTCACAGGTTGTGCCTGGAAGCTCTCAGATTATGCTTCTCAACATGCCATCAGCTACTCAGGCGCTAACATCCGGTCAGAGTAACGTGCCGTACACCACACAGCAGAACAGGGAAAGACAAGAGGAGAGGGAGCAATCTGGATCAGGCAAAAGAAAGTCAAAAAGACAGACGCCATCCTTTGCAAAAAGTGCAACAAAGACAGGAAGCCACCAGCCCACTTACAGTACTTTGGCAATTGGTTCTGTCAAGAATCAGAGAGCCGGTCCTATGAGGACTGGAGGCTGTGCTGGAGCAAAGAGGGTATGGGACAAAAAGAGAGGGGATGCACCTTAAAGGACCTCATGTTGTGAGCCGGTGGGTCATTTTGTTATTTATTTGACACTTTATTTCTTTACATTTGATGGCACTGTTTAGTTAGTTATGTTATATAGTACACTTGTATTATTATTGTTTATATTAGTATTACAATGTTGTTGTGACCTCATAGCACGTATAAAACAGTTTTGGATGTTTCTGTGTTTTTAACTTCTTTTAAATATTTGATATTTATTTTGCAACTTTTTCACTTTAATATATTTTGCACTGTTTGTTTTGTTATTAGTATTTATTTTACACTTTACTATACATATTATTACTGTTGTTTGAAATATATAAATACATATAAAACAAGTATGGATGTTTCTGTTTTGAATATTTCATCATCATATTTCACTTTCATTATTGTTATATTTACTTAATTCTTTGTTCTTAAGTTTTAATACATTTATTAAAAGTTGTAATTATAATAATAAATGCACAACATAACAATAATCCACATACATATTTGGCATAGTACTTATATTCTAAGTACTATTCTATAGAAGTACATCTATAGAAGTACTGTACAATGATGTACTTCCTTGCATGCTCCTTAATACTTCACTACATCTCAGAGGCAAAGATTTGACTGAACCTCAGATTTGATAACATGAGTTACTTTGAAGATTTACATTCTGTTACAAAGTACAATCATATAAACAGACAATGAATCACGATATGATTATGGTGAAGAACTGAAAATGATGCATTGATTTTATTCACAACCTACCCAAAACTTTGGTAAAATAATAAATAAGCTCCACTTTTACATTTATGCATGTTCTGACATACAAGGGATTGAGCGGGATTCGAAGCCGCGCTCGTAGGGTGTATTTCGGCTACTTCACGGTTATCAAACATAGACTAACGCTGTATGTCTTGCTCCCTCTCAGAGGAGTGGGAGACTGTTCTCTGCGAAGCGAAAGGCAGCAGCGCCATCTTGTGGTGGATTATTGACACTGCATGTTCCAAAAAGCCGTTTTCTAATGTGTTCTCAAAGAGGTTCATACATGACTTTCCTAGTTTCCGGTAGGGATGTTGGTATTGTGTGTTTAATTAATTAAAAAAAATATTTTGAAAAACAAAATGCATTATGGGTAAATATATAATCATCCGGCTCTGTGGCGCAATGGATAGCGCATTGGACTTCTAGGTTTGTGAAGGCATTCAAAGGCTGTGGGTTCGAGTCCCACCAGAGTCGATCTTTATGGGTAAATATAGCGCAGTTTTCTACAACCGGTAAATCAGTCAATGTGAACCTGTTAATGATTTTGTGTTCTTTAGTATCTGGTTAAACAGGTAAAAAGTGTTATGTGAATGATGTTTAACAATATGACAATAATACTATTTTTATTTATTTACTTATTTGTTTTTGTTACTAATTTATGAACAAATATACATTTTTGATTTTATTATACATTTAAAAATATGGATGTGTTATGTAAGTATGTATGTGCAGCTAGGCGGTCATTATGGGGGAAAGAACAGACGCGAAGCTGCGTTTTTGCGGAGCTTTTTGATTACAGATTTGAAAACATCGCTGCTTGCTTTAAAAGTAGCACAATTCATGATGTCAAACCTTGGAAAGTATCTAGATATCCCTGCCCTAATGCCAAAGGAACTGGAATCTGAATATGTGTTGCCGTCTGATGTCTATGTCTGGACGGTTGCGTAAAAAGGAGGGTTTCTGCACGACGCTGAAGTTGGCTTCCGATTCAGAGCATCCGATTCGGCAGTTAAGGGGAAAGTTAAGGGACATTTAATTTACAGCGCTGAGCGAACAATCCTCCGTGTTTGAACCTCTTAAATCGCTGCATAGCCGATTTATCTGGACCGGATTATCCCAGAGAATCTAAAGATTATTTATAACCCAGTTTCAGATTTGTGAAACCTTTATTCTATTTGTGAAAATACAAAAAAGGGAGATTTCAATGCTTTTTTCACATGTAGACCACATTAGACCAGGTCCTGATCTGAAACCACTAGACCTAGACTCATCAAATCTGGACTGGATTATCCCAGAGAGTCTAAAGATTCTTTATAACACAGTTTGAGATTTGTGAAACCTTAATTCTATTTGTGAAAAGAAGGCATAAAGGCTTGCCCTGCTGGGAGGTTCACTCTCTGAGTCTGATCCTGGCCTGCTGCAGCGACCTCAGCCTTCCACCTGTGCTTGTATTTTCACAAATAGAATAAAGGTTTCACAAATCTGAAACTGGGTTATAAAGAATCTTTAGACTCTCTGGGATAATCCAGTCCAGATAAATCGGCTATGCAGCGATTTAAGAGGTTCAAACACGAAGGATTGTTCGCTCAGCGCTGTAAATTAAATGTCCCTCAATTTCCCCTTAACTGCCGAATCGGATGCTCTGAATCGGAAGCCAACTTCAGCGTCGTGGTTAACGACCCGTGGCTTCTCCGCTGTTTTCTTGTCCCTCTTGTCTTGTCGGTTCGAAACACATCAGTATGTGTATACAGTTACATCGACCGAACTTCTTTCTGCAGATTTGAGCGTCCTTAACAACGGTCAATAAATCCTTGACAGCGGTCTGTCTGTTCTGGACTGTATATACAGTCTATGGTTTTGGATTAACAACGTGTCACGTGTTCTGAATTGACCAATCAGAAACGAGTATTCAACTAAACCATGTAATAATTATTTTTTAATAGAGGTTTCAAATCAAATCTTATTTCAATCATCAGTGACATGTATGCAGCGTCTCACAAACACAGTGACATCATGTATTACACTTTTTAGTAAGACACATAGGTCAAATATATGGAAGATTCAAGTATTTAATTCATTGTTTTTGCCAAATAATTATTGCCTAAATAACACCATTTCATTATTTGTATAACAGTAAGTTTCTCCAGTATAAAATCCGATTGGCAATTTATTTAGAAATAAAACAGATGTTCTACCTTCATGTTAATTTATGCAAACACAACTTTGTCCATTTATTTAAACAGTAGCAAGTAGATTAAAAGCTTTAAACCAAGCTGTGATCTCACTGGATCGTAAGGAAAAGAGGTTTTGAACATTTTGTCCTGTAAAAATAAATTGCATTTAACAGCAGCTCATCACAAAGATCCTAACTGGGGAAATGCATTCATACCCCAGGTTAGTGAGGAGCAACCTTCATTTGAATATTTAGATGATAATACTTTTCTATTTTTACTTCAGCAACATTTTGAATGCAGGACTTTTACTGTAACAGAGTATTCCGACACTATTACTACTACTTTTACTCAAGTACAAGATCTGAGTACTTCTAGTTTTACTCAAGTACAATACCTGAGTACTTATACTTTTACTCAAGCACAAGACCTGAGTACTTCTACTTTTACTCAAGTACAAGCACCTGAGTACTTCTACTTTTACTCAAGTACTAGATCTGAGTACTTCTACGTTTACTCAAGAACAAGCACCTGAGTACTTCTACTTTTACTCAAGTACAAGCACCTGAGTACTTCTACTTTTACTCAAGCACAAGACCTGAGTACTTCTACTTTTACTCAAGTACAAGCACCTGAGTACTTCTACTTTTACTCAAGTACAATACCTGAGTACTTATACTTTTACTCAAGCACAAGACCTGAGTACTTCTACTTTTACTCAAGTACAAGCACCTGAGTACTTCTACTTTTACTCAAGAACAAGATCTGAGTACTTCTACTTTTACTCAAGTACAAGATCTGAGTACTTCTACTTTTACTCAAGTACTAGATCTGAGTACTTCTACTTTTACTCAAGATCTGAGTACTTCTACTTTTACTCAAGATCTGAGTACTTCTACTTTTACTCATGTACAAGACCTAAGTACTTCTACTTTTACTCAAGATCTGAATACTTCTACTTTTACTCAAGTGCAAGACCTGAGTACTTCTCCTTTTACTCAAGTACAAGATCTGAGTACTTCTACTTTTACTCAAGTACAAGACCTGAGTACTTCTCCTTTTACTCAAGTACAAGATCTGAGTACTTCTCCTTTTACTCAAGTACAAGATCTGAGTACTTCTACTTTTACTCAAGTACAAGACCTGAGTACTTCTCCTTTTACTCAAGTACAATATCTGAGTACTTCTACTTTTACTCAAGATCTGAGTACTTCTACTTTCACTGAAGTATAAGATCTGAGTACTTCTACTTTCACTGAAGTATAAGATCTGAGTACTTCTACTTTCACTGAAGTATAAGATCTGAGTACTTCTACTTTCACTGAAGTATAAGATCTGAGTACTTCTACTTTAACTGAAGTATAAGATCTGAGTACTTCTACTTTCACTGAAGTATAAGATCTGAGTACTTCTACTTTCACTGAAGTATAAGATCTGAGTACTTCTACTTTCACTGAAGTATAAGATCTGAGTACTTCTCCCTCCTCTGATTAGAACCATATTGCACTGAACAAGCTCTTGTGAAATGATTGATATCATGTCACGTAAACTCCTCCTACGACATTATATGAAGTGATGTAAACCACCTCGGCCTAAAGACTCCTTCAGTTCCTGTTTTGCAGCACAGACTCTCGAACAGTCGGAGGGTCTATTTCTGAAGAGCTCAAACCCAGGAGGATGTGGCCTCTGAATGGTTTCCCTCTGCTCTGCTGTGGTTGATCTGGGATGATACAGGACACTGATGACTGCAGTAGATTGGTGAGACTTATGTCTATTTGTCTTCATGTTTAACCTCGTCATATGCCTTAACATGCTTACAGCGCATTACATGTTTTAGTGTCAGTCGTGCAGAGAAGCCAACACAGTTATTCATGTGGTCTCTCACTAGCAGGAACAAGCTTCTGTTGCATAACTTCCATTATTTGTAACTGCAATGTGTCATTCAAGCTCTGCAGATTTCCTGTTCCCTTTCTTTTAAAAGCAGCTTGACGTGCCAAAGTATTTAACAGATAATTGAGTCTCATTGGTATTTCTTTTTCCTTATTGAAAGATAAGATACTGCAATATGTTTTAAAGAG